ACACAGCAGCCTCCTGACATGAGATGCTTTATTTTGCTCGATACCTAAGGAATAAGGCCAAACATACGGAAAATAGGTTCTTTCAAAAAGGTTCCCCAAGCACCAGAAGGATTCAAGCCTGCTTCCTGAGAGAACACACAGAAGAGAAGTAGGCAAACTGGAGCGGGAGTATGACTTCCTTTCAGCCCTCGCAGGGGGATGGTGCGCTATTCAGCCGTCTCTCCATTTTCGCTTTGTTGTTGCTGGAAATGTGGATTCCCCGCAGTGCACAGAGCCATGGAACCACTCTTCTCACTGTTCAAGTGAAGGGACTTCAGTAAGTGGAGACGGGGGAGAGGGGAGCAGAGGGAGAGGGAGCATGGACACAGGAGCCCTATTTTGTTGCTCCGAGGAGTAACTGGACCCTGCCCAAGAGACCCCCAAGCCCTCCAGAGAAAAAATTGCAGGGGCCTGAGTCATCCCCCATTTTAGAAGAATACAGGGGTGCCCTGGGGGACCGGGGGCCTCCCTTATCAAGACCAGGCAACTGAAGTACATAGATTGTGCTTGGCTAGAGGCTAGGATCAGCTTCTGGTTATTATCTATTTAACTAAGTGGATTAAATGAGAACTGAATGGAATTGTACCCTTAGAGTTCCCTTACAAAACACCGTTATCTCATAAGCTGGCTTAATGGAAGAAGCTGTCAGGGGCTTATTAGAAGTAACTGAATACAGCACCTTACCGAGCAAAGATCCAAAGGAGGATATACAGCAGGCTGGGAGACCTCACACCTTCTGTGGCTACAAAAGACAGCCCTGAGGTGTGACTGCAAACCACACTGCTGGCATCAGCCCTGGGGACAGGCCCAGGTCTTCCCAAGAAGAAAGGCGTTTACCACTCACTCTGTTTAAAAGCATTTCTTCCGTGTTAAGGCAGAATTAAGTCTTTCATTGATCTTTTATATGTGTGGCCTCACCACATATGAAAGATAGCAGAATGGAGTGGCTAACAGGACTGTCTTTGGAGTTGGACTGTGAGAGTTTGAACCTCAGCTTTGCCACTTACTAGTTGAGTGAGGCTAGTAAAAGTTCCTTCTCTTTTCTCTGGCTCAATTTCCCTGGCTGCAAACTGGGAATGCTATTAGTACCTACTTCTTTGGGTTTCTGTGGAGATTCAATAAGCTGATATGCAAACACTTCTTAGCATGGCGCCTGGAATAAGTATGATATAAGTGACCATTCAGCGACTATAACTATTACTATTGTCACAGAAAAAAATTCATCGTATTTCATAGCTTTTGTGTCCACATCTCCTTTCACTATTAATTGCAGCATGAATTTGGAATGAGTCACATTCACAGAGGAGATTCTGGATGGGAGGCAATGGCCATGGAGGAGCTCAGGTCTGTGATGAGCAGGACATTTTGAACCCTGACTTTGCCAGAGATGGCGATGTGATCTTGCACAAGTCATTTATCTTCTCTGATCCACATTTCTAAAGTGTGTGTGTGTGTGTGTATGTGAAACTTTCATTATAGACTTCGGGTAAAGGCATGTAAATCCTGCTTAGGGTGAAGATTGGTACAATTATGAGTAATAATCAGAAACTGGTGTGGTCTCCCAGAACCAAGCACATTGTAGAATACTTGCCTTGAGGGAAACAGATATGTTGGAGAGAGTTGATAGTTTGGATGGAAGTCACTCTTGTGCAGTTCATTTGAACAATGAAAAAAATGAACTCTTTTTTGGGAAAGTTTTACTTTATTTGTGAATTTAGGACTTTTTATTTTCCACTCAGCATTTGATAACCTTATTTTCCTGTTGTGTTCCTTTGAGTTTAATTTACCAGTAATCTATAAACACTTCTGTCAAACAACCTGATCTACAGTTGACCAAACTCTTTGCAATTACACAGACTTTGCTTCATTATCTCCAATGTATAATCCACAATTGCCATGAACAATCTGTATTGTCAGGTACCTATAATCCAGTAGATGATTCTCTTCCACTCAGTCTAATGGATAAACATCGTATTACTCACTTTCCAAAACACTGAAAGAGACCATATGAAAAATGGGATGAATCTTTCTGTTTGACAGAAATTACTTTAAATAAAAAATGTAGCCTATTAATCTGAATTGTGTACATTGTGCATGGTATTAGAACTAGTAGTGTCATCTTGTTTTCATGCCTTTTTAAAAAAATATTTTTTAATGTTTATTTTTGAGAGAAAGAGACAGAGTGTGAGTGGGGGAGGGGCAGAGAGTGAGGGAGACACAGAATCCAAAGCAGGCTCTAGGCTCCAAGCTGTCAGCACAGAGCCCTATGTGGGGCTTGAACTCACGAACTACAAGATCATGACCTGGGACAAAGTCAGACATTTAACCAACTGAGCCACCCAGGTGCCCCTTATGCCTTTTTTTAGTTGAAAGACTAGTAGGGAATGTTCAACACTTAGATATAAATGATATAATTTCCTGTATTTTAAATGGCTCAGACTGAGAGTTTAAGGAAAGAAGTTACATGATTGACCAAAAAGCCATAACCTTTCAGGGTTTCTTCTGGTTGGTTACTGACTAAAGCACAGGCTGGTCTATCTCACCTAGGGTTGCAATGCCAAGGGTAAGCATAGTGTGATATCAATCCCCGTACCTATGGATCTCAACTCTTTTTGGTTATGAGCCCCTATAAGAATCAGGAGGAAGTTATGGACAGGCTCCTCAGAAGATGACACATTTTCTCCTTTCCACAAAGCTTGGCATAGAATTCTGGGGAATTCACATGAGCTCCTGACTTCCCTCCATCTGCCCCACCACCACCCCAGTTCACCAAACATGGGGAGGCTTCCTCTCACTGCACTTGACCATGCTGATTCTTTTTTAATGGCATAAAGTGGACATTTCTGGAAACCAGGAGTTTAAAACTGGTCAGAGAATTTTTATTATGCAATAAGAAATATACATATTGTCCTTTGTCCCCAGTTCCTGGCACAAAGCTATTAGAACCCTTGGACTTTCCAAGTGATAAGTGTCTCCTATAGGCTAGGGGATGACTGATGGTAGGGGCCCCCTCAGCTGCAGGATGGAGGGCTAGTTGCCAGAAAGACAAAGGCAACGCGTCTTCATGTTTCAAACCCACTAGGACCAATCAAGATGGAAACCACAAGCACTGTTGAGGATGTGGAAAAATCGCAGTCCTCTTACACTGCTGGTAAGAATGTCAAATGGTATGGCCACTTTGGACAACAGCCCTCAAAAAGTTAAACATAGAGTTGCCAATTCTATGGCAACAATTCCACTCCTAGGTATATATCCAAGAGAAAGAAAAATGTATGTCTGCACAAAAATTTGTATACGTGAAATTAGCAGCATTATTCCTAATAACCAAAATGTGAAAATAACCCCAAATGGCCATCAATCGATACATGTATACATAAAATGTGGTATGTCCATACAGTGAATATTAGTCAGCAATAAGAAGAAATGAAGTACTGATGTATATTACCACTTGGATGGACTTTGAAAACATTATGCTAAGTATAAGAAGCATGGCACAAAAGATCATACATTCTATGGGTCATTTATATGAAGTGTCCATAAATGGTAAATCCATAGAGACAGAAAGAAATCAGATTAGTGGTGCCAGGGACTGGGGGTGGGGTGGGAAAGGGGACTGACAGTTAACAAGTATGGAGTTTCTTACTGAGGTGATAAGAATATTCTAAAATGGGTTGTGGGTGTCCTGAGACAAAGATTTGGGTGCAAGTACTATATTCGGAAAGAGATTTCAGGAAGCACAGTCAGGAAGTAGGGAAGTGAGCCAGGGAAGGAAGGAAAGCCTATAAAGGGGCATTAATGAGTGAGTTATTGTTATCGGCAGCTGGGGCCCCATCCTTCTGGGACTGAGCAAAGGGTTTGAAGACCACAATTTGGAATTGTCCCCCCGCCAGGGGATGAGAAAGCTGGGCCTTGCCCACGAGTACTGACTTCCCAGCACTTCTGGCCTGCTACACACAAAGGCCAAGTATGCTTCTATTACCAGAGAAAGGCCTCAGACAGGAAGAGAGACAGAGACAGAGAGAAACAAAGAGATAGAGAGAGAGATAGACATATAGATACTTGAGGTAGGAAGCAGTCCGAGGTTGTTCCCCAGACCTACAGGTGACGTCCAGGGTGAGTGAGTGGATATGGACAGGACATTGGCAGTGTCTGCTCACAGGGCTATTACTTAACCTCTCTTTACCTTGGTTCCTTCATCCTTAAGATGGGGGAAAAAAATAGCCCCAATCTCATAAAAGTGCTGCAAGGATCAGTGAGTTAATATATCTGAGTATTGGAGGCAGTCAGAAATATCCACCTTGAACCTTTATTTTTTAAACTTCTGACCTATCTGTGATCGTTTCACTTCTGAATCGGCTTCTAACAAGATAGAGAATGAATCCAGCTCTTCTAAGTGTCAAAGAGAAACAGAATCTTTGCTGAGAATAGTCTTCCTATTAGGCCATCTTTGTGTGTTACCAGCTTTGAATGGCTGCCTTTTGAAATACGCCGTCTGCTTTGTGAGCACATTAGGCAGATGCCCAGCCCAGCAAGTTCTGTTGCTAGAGCAGCTCTGTGATCTCTCATTCTTGCTATTCTATTTTATGTTGGTGGGATTCAAGCAAGAGAGGTTCTTCACAGCCCTCTCTGGTACTTTTCTTTGTGTCCCCCCATATTTTCCCAAAGCTGTGTTCTGAGAATAGTAGACCCCAGGGGAGCTTTCTTTCTGTGAAACTTCTACAGAGATGGACTGAAGCCAGTGGGAACCATCCTAGGTGATCCTAAGTTCCACTTCTATCAAAGGCATTTATACTCACTGTGTTTCATTGCTCGTGGATGATTGAAACAGCCCCGTTGGGGAACTGCCAGGGAAAAGTAGGGTTAAAAAAAATCCAACTGTGTTACATGGAGCTCAAGCTGTCATGATTAAAACTTAAGTTAAAGATTTGCTCACCCAAGAAAATCTCTCTGGATTGTTTCAGGCTGTGACTCTTCAATTAAGCTGACTTTTCACAAATCCAAAATTGCCGTGGATGAGCTCTTTACTTCACTTCAAGATATTGCTGAAGCTCGGAATCTCATGAAACAGTTTAAGTCTGTGTATGTTCCTGGAAATCATACCCACCAGGCAAGTACATATGTTTTAAAGTAACCGTCTAATCTGGTTTATATTTTTAGGATTCAGAGACTGCAAAAAAAGTTTCCATTTTAGCCTCTCTAAAATGAGGGATTTGTTCTAGATGAACTCCAAGCTCCCTTCTAGTTGAGCATTCTGGGTTCCCCTAATCTGAACGCTTCTTGATCCATTTGTACCACAGGCTTGATGCAGGGAGATGAGCACTGGACTGAGGGTCAGCCCCTGCTCTGTAACTGTCACATTGCCTATTTTGTAACCTTAGGCAAGTCCCTTCACCTCATTGGGCCCCAGTTACTGTAGGTGCAGGTGAGGGGCTGGCCTTATGTGATTCCCAAGGTTCTAGATCTAAGCAGTCCTTAAACATTCTGAGTAATTAGAATAATAAAATTATCTAATAATATTATAGCAAGGAAAAAAGAAGTTGGCGACAGCGAAACCTTTGTTGTTTAAAATTCCCCCACCACTTCCTGAGCACGGTAGGGGGACTTTGGAAGGGTGTTTTGACCGGTGAGTAGGAAGGTAGTATCAGAATCCAAGATTAAAAGCCCAGGGGCGCCTGGGTGGCTTAGTCGGTTAAGCATCCGACTTTCGCTTAGGTCATGATCTCGCGGTTCGTGGGTTCGAGCGCCGCATCGGGCTCTGTGCTGACTGCCAGCTCAGAGCCTGGAGCCTGTTTCAGAGTCTGTGACTCCCTCTCTCTCTGACCCTCCCCTGCTCACGCTGTCTCTCTCTCTCTCCTAGAAATAAATAAAAAAACATTTAAAAATAAAATAAAATAAAAAAATAAAAGCCCAGTGAGGGAAGGGCCCCAGAAAGACCCAAAAGGAAGGTTAAGGAGTGAAGACAGGCTGTAGTCATTGAGGCTGGGCAGTCTCTGTTGGACAAGGATGGAGAGAACTAAGGTTCCTCGAGGCCAAAGACGAGCTTTCAAGGGAAAACACACATTCCTGGCAGAAAAGATCATTAGTGGAGTGTGTGCAACCATCTTCTCCTTCATCGCCCTGTGAAATCTCAGTAAAACCCACTCTATTTGCTAAGGCTCAGTGGGGAATCTGGCATAATGAGGGTCAAGTTCAGCATCCAGATGCTGATGCTTTAAGGTGGGCATGTAGACAAAGAGCTAAGGTTATCTGCCATAGCCTAGCAAAATCCAGACTCTTCTTCCCACATATTCTTGTAGTAGCTGACACTTGAAGTGTGCGCTCACATTTGGTTTGTCCTTTGAGCCTCACAACGACTAAGCCTGTCATCCAGGAAAGTGTTATTATCCTGAGATCTAGGAAGGCCACGTGACTTGCAGCAGGCATACAGGCGGCTGGGGCCAGGTGCCAAGTTTTGACTGCCAACACAAAACCTCCTCCCTGCTATCCTGTGGATCTCATGGAGATTCTAGAAATAACTGATTGATGGTGCCAACGGGCATCTGAAATCCCCCACTAATATATGAAAGACCTTAGAAACTGGCACTCAACTTAGTAACATAAATTCCTATCTTTTGTTCAACGATCTGAGAATACCACTACCACAAAATACAGATAAAATCACTCACAGAATTAATTGTGTGTAGTTTGGTCATTTAAAAAAATCACCAATCTAAAATACAGCAGGATGGGGGCCCTGGGTGCCTCAATTGGTTAAGCTTCCGACTTCAGCTCAGGTCATCATCTCACGGTCTGTGAGTTCGAGCCCCACGTTGGGCTCTGTGCTGACAGCTCAGAGCCTGGAGCCTGCTTCGGATTCTGTGTCTCCCTCTCTCTCTGCCCCTCTGCCCCTCCCCTGCTCACACTCTGTCTCTTGTCTCTTAAAAATGAATGTTGAAAAAAAAGAAAAATTGAAAAAGTTAAAAAATAATAAATAAAATAATTAAAATAAAATAAAATACAGCAGTATGGACTAGTTCTAGAAGACACAGAACTGGCGATATGTGAAGAGATTTAAACCGAAGAATTCCAAGAAGCAAGTTGCTGCTATAGTTGACAAAGTGAAAATAAAACACTAAATTAATAAGCTCTTTTCAGTTGATCATCATTGTGATTAAATGTGTATTAGCTATAAATCTTGGGCATAATAAAGACAATAACAAATTTCCTAAACTTTATCACCCAGCTACCAATGCGTTATTTCTCCAGACCTCAGGGCCCTGTCCTGCAACCATGGCCTTCACAAAATGAACTTTCCCCTTGTTGTATTGACTCCCTTACAGTGAAGTCAATAACTTCAACCCAATCACTGAAAATCCTAAATGTCAGTGAGTGGGGGCGAAGTGGAGAGTATGTGTATATCTTAAGGGGATTTAGTAAATAATGATACAGACACAGGCTGTGAAATACTGTGAAACAATTGAAATGAATGGGGCTCTGCTTCTTAGAGAACTCGAACTAAAACAAAGGTTTATGATCTATTCAGTGGAAAAAAAAAAACACATGTAACGTAGATCATTCTGTGAGGCATTTTTCTATTTTTGTTTAAAAAAACAAGGTAAATAAAATTAAAAGCATATGGGTATGTATATTAAACAAATGTTTTTAAAACTAAGAAAACAGTTATAATGGTTACCTTGTAGGGGTTGAGAAGTGTTGGATAGACAAGGAAGAACTCTTTAACCTCTCGCTTTATATTTATGTGGATAGAGAAAGAGTGTTTGATGGGATTATGGGTCATTTTTACCTGTTTGGTTTTTTTAATATTTTTTAAATTTAAAGTTCTCAGTCATAGCAGGAAGCCCAGTAAGGACAGGGATTTTGATCTGGTTTATTCACTGCCATATCCTCAGTGTCTAGGGTGGGATTTTACCTATAGTGAAAGCTTAATAAATATTTGTTGGGGGCATCTTGAATGCAATACATCTATCTTTATCACATAGCAGAGGATTTGTTGGCATACAAAGTATGTATGATGAGAAAAAGACAAATATCCAAACTAGACTGAGAGTCCAGCTGTTTGAAGATGGGCCTGGACTGAGCAACTTTCTGTCCATCTCTTCTCCCAACTTGGCCCTCAGCCCTAGATAGAAAGTGTGCTCTCTGTCTCACTCCATGCTGTTTGTACACCGGGTCGGGGTGAGATGCTCTGAGCTCCCTGGGACACTCAGGAAAACACCAGACCTGTTCTGGCTCCAGATTCCTGTTCCAGGTCCGAGCAGTGCTGCACATCTAGGCTCTCTTTCCTGGATCCCAGGGCCCCTCCCAACACCCCTCTCTCCTGCTCTAGTGCACAAGCTGGCTCTCAGAGCTGCTCCTGTCCCCCTGCTAGCACCGGAGGCACCTCTTTGTTCACCTTCATCCTTCAGCCCTTTAGGAAGGTGTGTCAGCCACAGCCCAGACAGCACCACTCTCATCATTTTAAGGGGAACGTGGTTTCAAACAAGAAATTAAGTACATATAAAATCTCTGGAAGAGCTGGAGGAGTGAGAGCTAGAATTATCTCCAGAAATGAGCCCTGAAGATCACCACACACCTAGCCCTCCCAGCGAACCAAGACCTCAGCTACAGCCGGGAGAGCAGGTGTGATGGGGATCATGAGGCTGCCATTGAAGCTCTTGACTTGCAGAACATATCACCAAAGCTGGAGACAGCACCCATGTTTGTTCACCATGGTATCTGCTGAGCCCAGCTCAATACCTGCCCCCGGTGGGGGGGGGGGGGGGGGGGGTGGGTGGATGGATGGATGGATGGATGGATGGATGGATGGAAGGCCTCTGGACTGTGAGACCAGATGGATCCATCCACAAGGATATTTCTTATACTCTTAATTCTTAGTGAGATGGAGATTAACAGCAGCATTTGGGTTCAAAGCCCAGCATAACAGCATTGGGTTCCTAGGTCCATAGTCCTATTAACTGTATAGTTTCATTTTATTTTATTTCATATCATTTTAATGTTTATATTTGAGAGAGAAAGAGTGGGGGGAGGGAGGGGCCGAGAGGGAAGGAGAAAGAAGCCGAAGCAGGTTCCAGGTTCTGAGCTGTCAGCACAGAGCCTAACACAGGGCTCGACCCAATGAGCTGTGAGATCATGACCTGAGCCGAGGTTGGACATCCAACTAACTGAGCCACTCAGGCGCACTTAACTGTGATTTTAGGCAGGTTACTTCACCTCCCTGTGCCTAGCTCCTCCTCTGTACAAAGGAGCTAATAATATTACCTCCTTCATCAAGATGCTGTCATGATTAGGTGAGTTGGTACATGGAAAGCTCCAAGGACAGGAGCTGACATAGCACTATGCATGTATTTGCTGTAACCCTCGTAGCGAGGGACAAAATAGGCCTTTTCCTTGCCCTCTTGTGTAGCATTTCACCTTCCCCTTTGCTAGGAGAAAGGCCACATAGAAAGGGAGTCATTGTCAAGCTCACTACACCATTAGCTGTTGTGTATGGTCAGAGTCTGTTGCTGACGCCCTGTTTGTTGGGGGAAGTCTGTGTTTGTTCCTAGACTCTGTTGAGTGGAAACCTAAGCCCCCAGTTTTGCTTGTGCAGCAAGTCTTCTGCTTTTGTTTCTTACTGCAAACGGTTCGGTTCAGTGGGAGGCTTCACCTCCTCCCTAAATGCCACAGTGTTTGATGTGCTGCTTTTGCTCAGCTGCAGCATCAGGAGGCTATTAGGCCGACGTCTCAGGGTGAAGAGTGTCTGTACCCTTTCAGACAAAACACCGTATGACTCTCGCATGACTTGCTTTGGCAGAAGTCTCAAAGTGCTGTGCTGGGCTGCGTGGGGGAAAACTTTCCACAGATGTGCCCTGTCTCCTATGCCTCTCGCGTGGTGATCAGGAGCCCTGAGAACCAGCAGTGCCCGAGGAGGCTTGATTCATCTGGTGCCCGGTGAAACGCGGCTCTCCGAACAGTCTGTAGGACCAGCCTCTTTGTCAACAATCCCCAGCCCTGGTGGCCAGAGTTCTTTCCAAGTGCCAAGCTCTCTTCTTCCTCCTGATTCTATCTACCTAACTCCAGACCGGCTAGTGTCCTTCTTGAAAGAATCAACACAAGATGGGACTGCGC